TCCACAAACCAATGAAGGAAAAACCACCCAACAACACCACGCAAGTTCGAGCCTTTGTACGCTATAAACCCTAAATCGTAAACCCTTAACATGAGTTGAGGAGCTTAGCTTGATAAACAGGAGTTTCTGCTGCTGCTGTTGCTGGAGGTGCTGTTGCAGCTGCTAGTACTGCTGTTGCTGCTGCTGTTGTTGGTGCTGCTGTTGCTGCTGCTGTTCCTACTCCTGCTGCTGCTTTAGCAGGCAATGTGTGAAGGGCCTGCTGCTAGCGGCAGCATGACATCCTAGGTAGATGCCAGGCTCTGGGTTTGGGGGCGAAGTGTGTAGGGTTTAGGGTTTAGGGTTTAGGGTTTGTGCAGGTGCGGGGCTTGTTTAACGTGCCTCTGCGGCGGCTGCCTGCGGGGCCTGAGGAGCTGCATGGACGTTGTCGTCTTGGGTGTCCTGAAGGGTTTAGGGTTTGTGGTTTAGGGGGTTTCAAGGTGTATGAAACACCGCACCCACAGACAGCTTTCTCCCCCACAGCAAACAAAGGAAACCCTAAACCACACGGATCCTCACCCTCTCAGCTGCTGCAACTCAGCCGCCCCTTCGTTCAGGTTCAGCTGCTGCTGCCCGACCTGCGCATACACCTCACGGCAACCACCAGAACCGTTCAAGGAGAAAACCCCCACATAAATCAGGTCAAACCCCAGACCCGAAACCACAAACCCTAAACCCTAAACACTAAACCCTAGGCGATCAGCTCAGACCTTATTCCGTGCACCCTATATACTAAACCCTAAACCCTAAACCCTAAACCCTGAGCTTGATATTTCTCCCCGAAACCCTAAACCCGAAACCATGAGCTCGAAGTTGCTCCCCTAAACCCTAAACCCTCAGCGCTATCCGGCGAGTTTGAACATGTTTTCTTAAACCCTAAACCCTAAACCCTAATCGGTTGTTCGTGCTGTCTGCAGGCATTGAGCCTTACTTTGCCTGATGCAGTCGCACTGGAGGCTGGTGTTTTGCAGCGTCAGCGGGGGTGTTTGCGTGTTTCTGTTTTTGATGAATTTCTACAACAACCCAACACCAGAAACCCCAATAAACCCTGGATGGTTTGTGAGCCCTCAACGAACACAACAAACCCTAGAGTTTTATTGGGGTGTATAGAGCTGCCCTGGACTTCTGTGATTTTCTCTGCAACAAATGCTGCAGCAAAAGGTATTAAACCTACTGCTGCAGCAAACAACATGCAGCCACACATGAAGCATCAGCAACAGCAGCAGCAGCAGCTATTCAAGGAAATGTTTGATGTCGAGGAGGACGGTACATGTTGTCTGTGTCTCCTAAACGGCTGCTTTCGGCTGCAGCAACCCAAAGGTCTTTTAACACATATTCATCTATCACGGCCCCACATCCCTTCTATACCTAGTGATTTGCTGCTGCAGCTGCAGCAGCAGCAACAGCTGCAGCAGCAGGTGCTGCTGCAGCACTTTACAGCAACTCCTTTTGACCTCTTCGTCTCGCTTAAACTTGAGATACGGGGGCCCGCTAGAGCCCTATGCTGCAACTTACCCCGCATCCTAATGCCTGAGGAGATATACCAGCAGCTGCAGGAGGAGAAGAGAAAAGAGGAGGAGAGGCAGCAGAAACAGCAGCAGCAGCAACAGCAGACAGTGCCCGTGCAGCAGCAGGATGAGGAGGGGCTATACCTCTGCCAACAGGAGCAGCAGCAACAGACCCTACAGGAACAGCCCTCTCTGCAGCAGCAGCAGCAGCAGCAGCAGCAGATGCTGCAACTGCAGCCTGGAAAGGGATCGGGAGAAGACAAATGTTTAATTGATTGGGATAAGAGGTGGAGACACAAGACAG